CCCAAAGTATGCCACTGATAAGGAGATGAGATGTATCCGATATCATTCCATACCAAGGGATGATATTCGGGAATTTGTGAGATTTAAAGGGTGCAAAAACCTGAATGAGATGGTGGAGAAGGCCCGTGAGCGGGAGATAGAGTTGGACTCCCGCACTAAGCGGAAGCCCGAGCAGGAACAGACAACGATGGGTCAGGCTAAAAAGCCTAAGACCTCGGATTCATCGAGTAGGGGCCAGCAAGGTCGGGGCCGATGTGCCAAGTGCGGGAGATTTCATAGTGAAGCATGTCGGACAGCTGGGATATCGGGATGTTATTCTTGTGGGAAGCATGGCCACGTGAGCAGGGATTGCCCCAAGAAGGGCCTAATATGTTTCCACTGCAACCAGACTGGCCATAAAAAGGCCGATTGTCCGAGGTTCCAAGGAGGGGGAGGAGCAGTGATGAAACATGCGCCTGCCACACTGAGGATCACTGATGGCCACCCTGCTAAGGCGGAAGCCCCAGTGGTGAAGAGCCGCACGTTCAGCTGACTACCGAGGAGGCTCGGGCCGCGCCAGATGTTGTGGTTGGTACGTGTTTACTCTCCTCTGTTTTTATCATTTTGTATGACTTATGTGTAATTATGTTTGTATAGGGACATTTTTGGTCAATGGTATGACTGCTCATGTCTTGTTTGATTCGGGTCAATTATGTCTCTTGCGCTTAGCAAGAAGTTTGGGGATGCGTCAAGGACCTTGGATTCCCTGCTCGAGGTAGAGATTGCTGATGACCGCACCATTAGTGCGGCGAGGATATATCGGGCCTGTTTTCTGAATGTGATGGGCGAGAGGTTCCGTGTGGATCTAGTTCTTATATCGTTACAAGGGTTGAAAGTGATTGTTGGGATGGACTGGTTGGGGGCCAACGGAGCCATGATTGATTGTGAGCGCCAGTTGGTCAGGGTTCGAACCCCAAGTGGGGGAGAATCGGTGATTCATGGGGAAAGGGCCTCGCATGGACCGACCCTTTGTTCGGAAGCAAGAGCTAGGAGGTTTTTACAGCAGGGTTGCACGGGATTTCTGGCTTATCTCTCGGATACGAGAATGGAGACCATGACGGAATTGGGCAGTGTGCCGGTTGTACAGGATTTTCAGGATGTGTTCCCCAAAGAGTTTCCAGGAGTGCCTCCGGAGAGGCATGTGGAGTTTCACATTGACCTGGTGCCAGGTGCTGCCCCGATAGCAAAGGCACCATATGGCTGGCACCACCGGAGATGCAGGAATTAGTTCATTCGCCCAAGCAGTTCCCTGTGGGGTGCACCGATTCTTTTCGTGAAAAAGAATGATGGGTAGCACAGAATGTGCATCGATTATAGAGAGCTGAACAAACTACGGTGAAGAACCGTTATCCGTTGCCGAGGATCGATGATTTGTTTGATTAGCTTCAAGGTGTGTCTTGGTTCTCCAAGATTGACCTTCAGTCTGGGTATCATCAGATGAGGATTCGGGATGAGGATATATTGAAGACGGTTTTCAAGACTCGGTATGGGCACTATGAGTTTGTGGTGATGCCGTTCGGGCTCACCAATGCCCCAGCAGCGTTCATGGACCTCATGAATAGAGTGTGTAGGCCAGATGTTGGATCGGTTGGTGATTGTTTTTATCGATGATATTCTGGTCTACTCTAGGACCAGGGAGCAGCACTTGAGGCAGGTTTTAGTGTCCCTGAGGGCGGATAAACTTTATGCGAAGTTCTCCAAGTGTGAATTATGGCTATGGGAAGTACAGTTTTTAGGGCATGTCATCAATCAGGAGGGAATTTCGGTTGATCCAGCCAATGTTGAGGCTGTGATGCGGTGGTAAGTATCGAGGAATGCATCTGAGATTCGTAGTTTCTTGGGCTTAGCAGGTTACTATCGGAGATTTATCTAGGATTTCTCCAAGATTGTTGTGCCATTGACCCGTTTGACCAAGAAAAATATGACTTTTCGGTAGGATGCGGACCAGTAGACGGCTTTTGAGACCCTGAGACGGAGGTTATGTGAGGCTCCGATTCTAGTATTACCTGAGGGGTTAGATGATTTGGTGGTGTATTACGATGCGTCGATCTCAGGGTTAGGTGCAGTACTGATTCAGAGGGGGCATGTGATAGCTTACGCCTCGAGGCAGTTGAAGCCTCATGCGGCGAATTACCCCACTCATGACTTGGAATTGGGGGCAGTGGTGTTTGCCCTCAAGATTTGGAGGCACTACTTATATGGTGTGCGGTTCACTATATATACCGATCACAAGAGTCTGAAGTATTTGATGGATCAGTAGAACCTTAACATGCGACAGAGGATGTGGTTGGATGTGCTGAAGGATTAGGATTGTGAGATTCTATACCACCCAGCGAAGGCCAACATGGTGGCCGATGCATTGAGTCGCAAGACGGCAGGGTCCCCGATTAGGGACATTTGTATGAGGATGACCGTGATTTCGCCTTTTTTGGATATGATCAGGGAGTCCCAGATCAAGGGGGCAAAGAAGGAGAATTGGAAGATAGAGAAAATTCGAGAGCAGTATCATTTGTCTGTTAAAGATAGTCGCGGCCTTTTCGGTCGGGTATGGGTACCAGTGACAGGGGGTGAGGCAGAGGTTATTAGAAGAGGCACACAAGTCCAAGTTCTCTATACACCCAGGAGCTACAAAAATGTATAAGGAGTTGAGGATGAGTTATTGGTGGCCCTACATGAAGCGGGAGATCGTTGGGTTCGTAGAGTGGTACCTAACCTGTAGGAAGGTCAAGGCCGAGCATCAGCGGCCTCATGGCAAGGTTCAGTCACTGCCCATCCCTATATGGAAGTGGGAGGAAATCACTACGGACTTCATTACGAAGCTACCGAGGACGGCAAGGGGCGTGGATGTCATATGGGTTATCGTGGACAGATTGACAAAGAGTGCCCACTTCATTCGAATTTCCGAGAGTATACCCGCAGAAAAGTTGGCGGATATTTATGTCCGAGAGGTGGTGGCTAGGCACGGGGTGCCAGTGTCGGTGATTTCGGATAGGGATGTTCGGTTTACATCAAGGTTTTGGAAGAAATTCCACAAGGAATTGGGTACTCAGCTGCTTTTCAGCACAGCATATCACCCTTAGACGGACAGTCAGAGTGAGAGGACAATCTAGACACTGGAGGACATGCTTCGAGCTTGTGTGCTGAATTTTGGAGGGAGTTGGGAGACATACCTCCCACTGGCAGAGTTTTCGTACAATAACAGTTATCATGCCAGTATCAACCGAGCTCCATTCGAGATGTTATATGGTCGGAGGTGCAGAACCCCAGTATGCTGGGATGAGGTTGGGCATCGGGTAATGGGGAGCACTAAGGTAGTGTTCAAGACCACCGGGTTAATTCAACAGGTGCGTGACCGGTTGCAAGTCGCACAGAGCCGTCAGAAAAGTTATGTCGACCGACGGCGTTCGGATCTTGAGTTTCAGGTGGGAGATTTTGTTTTGCTGAAGGTGTCGCCCTGGAAAGGGATTATCAGGTTTCGTAAGAGGAGCAAGTTGGGACCTCGGTTCATAGGCCCGTTCAGGATCACGACCTGGGTAGGCAGGGTGGCCTATCGCTTAGAGATGCCAGAGGAGCTTAGTCAGATTCACAACACCTTCCACGTGTCTCAGCTTCGGAAGTGTGTTGCTGACGAGTCCGCAGTGATCTCCTTGGATGGCATTCAAGTAGATGGTAGCCTGAATTATGTTGAGAAGTCGGTCGCCATCTTAGACAGGAAGATAAATGGGCTTCGGAACAAGGAAGTGAAATTGGTGAATGTGCAATGACATCAACGAAAGGGCTCCGAATGGACTTGGGAGCCGGAGGAGGATATGCAGGAGCATTACCCCGATCTATTTGCATCTACGGACTTCGTGGACGAAGTCTAGTCCAAGTGGGGGAGAGTTCTAACACCCTAATTTTGGAATGTCATGAAACCCTCGAAGAATTACATTTTAGCATAAATGGGACCTCGAGTACGTTGGGCGTACTTAAGTTTACACTTAGTGTACTACGCTTGGTTGGTCACGGAGGAACTAGAGGTACACTGGGCGTACCAAGTCATACGCCGGGCGTACACGCCAGTGGTTCAAAACCCTAATTTTCGGACATGAGACCTATTTAAGCGACCTTAAGTCCCTTGAACTTCGCCCTAGAGAGCCTTCACTGCCATAGAACGCCCTTACACTCTAGAGAACTTCTGTGAGACCATTTTGAGCTTGGATAAGTGCATTATCACTCTTTTAGTGTTCATTCCAAGAAGAAGAGGTGGTTATACAAGCTTAGAACGAGTTGGTGCTTCAAGATCCTGCATCATAGTCATCTTGCAAAGCTTTTAGATGTAAAAGCTTGGATCTTTCATCTTAGATCTCTAGATCTAGCTAGGGTTTTTTACATTGTTCCTTTTTGGTTGATTTTGGACCTCCCTTGAGTGTTAAGCAACTCTATGAGATAGGAAAGACAAATATGAGGTCCCTTGGTCCTTTAGTATCATAAAAATGGAAGCTTGATGGGAGATTTGGCCTCATACATCGGTTTAAGAGCTTAGAAAGGTCTTAATGGAGAAGTTGGGTGTGTATGAGACATGCAAAGGCATAAAGTTGCCAACTTTATGCCTTAGGACATCTTTACAGACTTAGATCTAGCTTTTGGACGTAAAGGAAACGAGTATTAAGCACTTAATGGAGAAAGTGCTCAAACTGGTGGTACGTTGGGCGTAACCCAGTGTACGTCGCGTGTAGTCCCAGGTCCCAGTACGCTGCGTGTACCAAGATGGTACGCCGAGCGTACGCAATGCAGATGGGTCGAATCTGTTTTGGGCCCTTGGGCTATTTGGGCCTCATTTGGTTATTGGGCATGGTGTATTCTGGGAATTATGAGTCATATCAATTGTTGTGGGTCATGGGATTATTGATGGGGCCTTGTTAGGCCAAGAAGCCCATTAAGGATTTCTTGGACTTAAACCTTGGGCCCATTAATAAGGGATGGATAATTGGGCCTTATGGAAGGGTTGGGGAGTTGGGTTCCCATGGTTAATCGAAGTTCTAACATTGATTAATATTATTATTCAGCTTGAGAGGTTTCGGATTGTTAAGAGAGCAGCTTTTGTATTCAGCAGACACAGGTGAGTCTTCTCACCATACATATGGGTCTAAGACTATCCCCATCGGCATATATTCACAAGCGGTTCACCTATTTTATTTATAAAAAAAATTAAGTGAATATTGGTGGCCTAGGCCACATGGACGAACCGGTTCACAAAAGGTCACCACCATTATCTTGCCACGTGTTGTGTATAGGGGAGTTGTATATATATTTTTTAGATTTTTAGATAAAAGTTATTATCTTTAAAAATCTAACATTATCTTAACAAAAAAAAATTAAATACTTTTTTTTCTCTATAAATAGAGTATAATATTGATATAGTTCATATCTCATATTAACTATTCGTTTCTATACCTTTTTATTTCTTTAATACCATGGATCCAAATTTCGTTTAAAATCTTGACGATTCTCAAGATTATCAAAGCTTTCAAGGTTATGAAAGCTCTCAATTTTTCCCAACTCTGAATCAATTCCTTGTCACTGAAAATATTCAAACCTCACAAAATACCAGAAAAAATCCAAGAGGCGATAAATGGGATGCTGATGAAGATATCGTTTTAATGTCAGCATATTGCATCGTTAGTGAAAATGAGCGTCGTGGAAAAAACCAAAAGAAAACATCAATATGGGCACAAGTGAAGGAGCTATATGATGCAAATCAAGTAGAAAACCCAGGAAAGCTTGGTAATAGGAACATAGCTCAAATGAAAGGTCGTTATAAACGACTTAATGAAAGTGCTGGAAAATGGGTTGGTGTTTAACGAGAAGCGTATAGAAAAAGAAGAAGTGGAATGAGTATGAAAGATGTTGAGAATGAAGCTCATAAGTTATTTGAGACAATTGGAAGCAAGTTCAATGACACGATTGTTTTTAATGAGGTTATGTGTAAGCATCGAAAATAGGATCTACAACTAGATCATGATGCAACACGATCACGCCCTGAATATGAAGTAGATGATGAAGAAAGTGGTGGTAGCACAAAAAGATCAAGGTTTACTGAAAAAGGAGACTATTGTGTCCAATCCAACATAGAAGGGGAAAGTATTGGTGGTTCAACAATTAAACGTCCAACAGGTAGAGATGCAGCTAAAAGAAAAGAAAAAGGTAAGTCTTCTAATGAAGTTGTTGCAGAACTTCGTGCGATGAGACTTAGTAGAGATAGTGAAGTAGAAGTAATGAAAAAAAAGACTTGACTTGGATCAACAAAGGGAGCAAAAAACGGATGAAAGGGAGTTACTAAAGATGCAGAGTTTGCATTTGAACACACTCCTACAAAAGGAGCAATTGTCGCTTGAAGAAGAAAACATGAAACATTTTCTAATGTCTAAGTTTTATGGAAACTAATTATAGTTTAGTGTATGTTTTATTTTCGATATGCTTTTAATGTATTTGTAAGATTGTTTATTATGTATTTGTACCTCATGTTTTTAATGTATCTGTAAGATATTTTATTATGTATTTGTATCTCATGTTTTTAATGTATATGCTTTTAGTGAATGCAAAGTTGTCATTATCATCTTTATTGAATGCATATTTGTCATTATCATCTTTATTGAATGTAGGGTTGTCATTATCATCTTTCAGAGATACCACTCATTTTCAGTATAATCTTATCATCTAGAAAATATGTCAATATCTCCCTGAATATAAGATTCTATGATGTGTCATCTTTTTATTGGATCTTCGGATTTTATCTAGATAAACTATTTTAACATTATCTTTATTTAACATTTAATAACAAAAAACAAAAATAAATATTCTTTCTATATAAATAGAGTATAACACTTACATATTTTCATACCCAACTCTAATTCTTCATTTCACTCTTCATTTCTAATCTCTTTGAAAAATGTCTCATAATGCAAACTCATCAGATGGCTCCGGTTCATCGGATGTGAATGAATATGATGAATGGGAAGCACGAGTTATTCAACAAAATCGACAACTTAATGTTATCATGAGTGAGTTACTCATAGGCATGCCAAACATGAGTGTAAGAGATCATCCTAGATCAAGAAGGAAGTATTGTGATCGGGAACGTGAGCAAGGTGAGGGGCGATTGATGAAAGACTACTTTGTTGACAACCCAACGTATGGTGAAGCAAAATTTCATGGTAGATTTCAAATGCGAAAACCATTATTTCTCCGCATAGTGGAAGCTGTTACAGCCAATGACCGATATTTTCAACAAAGACGTGATGCCACAGGCAGACAAGGTTTTTCACCAATACAGAAATGACTGCAGCTATGAGGGTGTTGGCATATGGGACATCAACAGATGCACTTGATGAATATTTGAGAATGAGTGAGACTATGACAATGGATGCTCTTGTAAAGTTTGTGGAAGGTGTCATTTCATGCTTTCGTGAAGAGTACCTTAGAAGTCCCAATAGAGATGATTTGGCACGACTACTCCATGTTGGAGAAGAACGTGGATTTCCAGGTATGGTAGGCAGTATTGATTGCATGCACTGGGAATGGAAAAACTGTCCCACCGCTTGGGCTGGACAATATGCAGGTAGAAGCGGTAAGACAACAATAATTTTGGAAGTTGTTGCATCGTATGACTTATGGATATCGCATGCATTCTTCAGAACACTAGGTTTGTACAATGACATTAACATCCTCCAAAGATCTCCTCTTTTTGATGATGTCTTCTTGGCAGGTCGAGCACCAAAGGTGAGTTACACTGTGAATGATCGAGAAAATAATATGGCTTATTATCTCACTGATGGCATATATCCTTCATGGGCTGCCTTAGTCAAGTCAATAAGTTCTCCACAACTTCGAAAACACAAGTTGTTCGATGAACATCAAGAGGCGGCTAGAAAAGATGTTGAACGAGCATTTGGAGTTTTACAAGCTCGTTTTGCTTTTCTTCATCGCCCTTGTCTTGTGTGGGACAAAGATATGATGGGGAAAATTATGATTGCATGTATCATTATTCATAATATGATAGTTGAGGATGAACGACATGCATACCTTCATTATTATGATCCATCATAATTTATAACTACAGAAGACGAAGAATCTTTTGAATACTCTACTCAACAAATTGGAGATCTATCCCGTTATATGCCCAACAGGGCACAAGTTCGCAATAGAGAAGCTAATAACGCTCTAAAAAATGATCTGATTGAGAATATGAAAAAAATTTAGCACTGAAGAATAATTTAGTAGTTTGCATCTTCTGTATTTGTAACTTATTTTATCTATTTTATTAAGTATATTTCATAAATATAAAATATTTTTTTATCTATTTTTATTTAATTTTACGTTTAAAATAAATAATTTATTTGTTTCAAAATAAAATATTTATTTTTAATATTTCTAGTAGTTTTTAGTAAAAGAAAAATTAAGTTAAGTTATATTTTTTAAATAAAAATGGGTTTTGATTGGGTTGTTAATGGGTGTAGAAAATTAGATTGGATTGGGTTGTATAGGTGGAAGAGAGAAAAATTAGTTTTTTATTAGAAAATTGGGTTGGTTTGGTTTGCTAATGGGGGTAGTCTAAGGCACCAAGGTCGGCCCATTATGTGATTATGATATATATGTTAGTCATTCTGTGTTTTGATATGATGTGTGATTGTTTGTTTTGCATGAAGACCCCCCCGGGGGGGGGGGGGGGGCGTGGCATTTGATGTAAGACCATGTGGGGTAGCCCATGGCAGTCCTAGGTAAAGACCATGTGGAGTAGCCCATGGCATTTAATGTAAAACCATGTGGGGTAGCCCATGACAATCCTAAGTAAAGACCATGTAGGGTAGCTCATGACATTAGATGTAAGACCATGTGGGGGAGCCTATGATAGTCCTAGGTAAAGACCATGTTGGGTAGCCCATAGCACTATTACAGGTTTTATGTATGCATGACTTATGTGATATGTGTGTTTTGCTTGAAACTAATTTAAGAAAAAACATCATAAATGGTCCTTGTGGTTTCTCTAAATTTGAAGTTTAATCCCCGTGATTTAAAAACATCATAAAAGGTCCATGTGCTTTCAAAACTTTTGTCAATGGGTCCTTATTGCTAACTTCGTTAAGTTTTGTCTATTAATTGAATGGCATTTTCGTCATTTCACTACCATAGGGACCATTTATGATGTTTTCTCTTACTTTATAAAAAATGAAATATTATACAAAGGGTCTCTCTCTCGTATGAACACCACCACAATCCCTAAAATACTAAACATGTACTGAATTTTGGGTTCTTGAATCGATGTATAAGAAAGAAGGAAGAAACTTTGTGGTCCCTTCTAACTTAGTTCACGATGGTTAAGTGCTACAATAAGGGGGTGGGGTTTGAGTTAACTGGTACAAACAACGAGGAAAGGAATTGTCGTCTTCATCAGGTCGACAAAGAAACAAACGAACAAAAGGAAAAATCGAGAATCTCCGATGTGGCTGGGAGATCAAGAGAAAGGGCAGGCGTCGACCTCCAGCGACCCTCATTGGTTCAATCTCCGTCTGATCGGGTGGGAACGAAATCAGCAAATGAGGTGGTTTGGTGGGATTTAACAGATCACAAGGAGCGAATAGTTGATCCTCCACAAGCCTTCATCTTCGCCCTGGTCATCGTCTTCATCTTATTGGAATGGAAATCGAAAGAAGTGGTCAAAAGAGGTGGTCTGGTGACTAAAATCGATGAAGAAGAAGGGTTGTTGGATGTTCCGACGGCGTCTGTTCGTTTCCGGCTAACGCGAAAGGGGAATGGAGGACTTCGGCCCTCAAATGTTTGAGAAAGAACCAGACAAAATCAGAAGTCGAGTGGGGGCATGGGACCTCATCTTCATCAGATTGAAGGAGAAGAAAATGAGAGCAATCACATGTGGTGTCTGGGGATTGAGCTTCGACGGGAAGGGATCTATTAGAGGTTGGGATGGAGGCAACAACCTCATCTCTCTCATCTTCGCAACTTTGCATTTTTCGGCGATCGGAGGACCACCCACCTCCGATGGGTGAGTCTTGGCAGTCTAATGAAGAAGAAATAGGGACAACAATAGCAAGTATCAGGTGTGTTTGTGTGGTGCTAAATGAAGAAAACAGGAGGGAGGGAGGGAGAGAGAGAGAGAGAGAGAGAGAGAGAGAGAGAGAGAGAGAGAGAGAGATCTTTGTATATTATTTCATTTTTTATAAAATAAAAGAAAATATCATAAATGGTCCCTATGGTAGTAAAATGACAAAAATACCCTTTAGTTAACGGACAAAACTTAATGGAGTTAGCAATAAGAACCAATCGTCAAAAGTTTTGAAAGCACAGAGATCATCTATCATGTTTTGAAACCACGGGGACTAAACTTCAGATCTGAAAAAACCACAAAGACCATTTATGATGTTTTTTCCTAATTTAATTGTAATTTCCAGTTAATTTATTTACATTTTTAATTTGAAATAGGTAACTTGTGTCAACCCAATCAATTATTTGGATTGAACCCAAACCCAAACCCAAACCCAAACCCAAACCCAAACCCAGGTCCACTCATTGGTAGCTCTAAGAAATTTGGATTATACTCTCCAAAAAAAATGTATTAACAAGGTAAAATATAGCATCAATATTTTAGAGTTTACTTGTATTTCTAGGTATTAAAAATCTAATAAGTTGTTATTTACTCAACAAAAAACCAAACATGATGAAACTCAAGCAACAAAAAAACTGAATCAAAGGAAAATTTAAATGTAATTAAATAAAAAGAAAATCCAAAGCATCCACTTGAGTTTAGACAATTTCTCACCTAACTTACACCAACCCCTGCATTCGCTCAATCTTGAAATTCATTCCTGTAAACAGAAACCGACATCATTCAAAGTAATAATATAACATTTTTAGACTAAATTATATATTTGGTCCCTGAATATAGCTTATTTATGCAATTTTGGTCTCAAAAAGTTTTCTCTTACAATGACTACTTTTGGTCCCTGTGTATAATTTATTTTTGCAATGTTAATCCAAAAAATAGTCATTTTACTTGGAACATGGACCAAAAACCTCCTATAAGGGACCAAAATTGCAAAAGAACTTTTTAAAACCAAATTTGAAAAAATTAACTTTTTTCTTTAGTTAAAGTTTTTGGAATGACTATTTTTGGTCCTTAGGTATAAATAACTTTGCAATTTTAGTCCCAAAAAGATTTCTTTTGCAATTTTTGTCCTTCTTTGAGGTTTTTGAAAACGTTTGGCCCCTATTCCAAGTAAAATGACTATTTTTAGTCCCTAGATTTAAATAACTTTTCAATTTTGGTCCCAAAAGCAAAGTCATTTACTTGGAACATGGACAAAAAAAAAACATTACAAGAACCTCAAATAAAGACCAAAATTGCAAAAGAAAACTTTTTGGGACCAAAATTTTAAAAACAAATCAACTGAAGGACCAAAAGAGTAAAATAGAAAAGTGAAGATGCTTACAGTTATCCATCAGCATGTTGACTAGACTGTCCAGTTTCAATCAAAGTGAGCTCCATATCATGATTAGCAGTCCAACCAGGTTCATAAGTTTCAAGAAATCCAATCTTTGCCTTATTTGGAAGATCATGTGGATGAACAAATGGCACACCCGCGGGCCACCCAATCTCCAATCGAATGTTGCCACATGGACTATCAAGCGTGTGGATATGACTCTCACACTCCTTTAAACTGCAGAATCTCAGCTTGATGCCTTTTTTATCAGCTATGTCTTGAACCCTTTCTTTTAGAACCCTTTGAGCTTCAAGGCGTAGCCTTTTAGAAGGGGGTAAAGGCTTACACCTAGTGCTGTTCTTCTTTCTCTTCATTAAAGGTTTTATAGATCCTGTATTAGTATTATTATAGCATCGGCTAAGGACCTGTTGTTAAAAAACTTCTTACTAAGAACTACTACTACATAAACAAAAATTAAATTCATGTTTATGATTATATATCAAGATACCTTCGGATAAACAAGATAAACATAGTGAATATATGTATATGTTACAAAGGAACTTACTAACCTTCTTGAGCTGTAGGAAAACTGAAACTTGGGAAACTGTTTCTGTTAAAAAGTTGATCCAAAGAATGTGATCTCTGCATAAAGTCATCAACTGATACTGGAATCTGAAACTGAGCTTCAACACCATGTCCAGCTGCTCTCATCTCAGAACAATTCAAACTAGTCATAGATTTAGGCATAAGTTTATAAGAAACAGAACACCTTCCATACATGCCACCATGTAAACTGTTGATATCAGTTCTATGAAGAGCTGGACTAACATAGCCAGCAGTAGCATGATACAAAGCAAGCCCAGGGTACATGATTGCTTCTTGAGGACCAAGATCACCATCCACAAGCACCCATCGACCATTAAAATCTCTTATATGAAGACCTGCTTTATCTGACTTTATAATAGATACAAGACTTTTATCAACTTGATGCTCATGATCTGTAAACATAACTAACTGTCCATCTTCTTGAGTTGTTAAGTTATGGTGTTGAGCTCCTTGAAAAGATGGTCTTGCATGACAACCAACTGACAGCACAGAAGATGATATTTCTCTGTTTCTTAATGGAACGTTATCCAGTATTTCAGTAAACGCACAGCTTCTGAGATTCAAGTAAAAGCTGATTGCATCGAGTATGTCACGAGCTGCTTTTCCTAATAGCATAAAGATATCAGTCAATCCAGAAGGTGGAAGTTCAATGTCGTTGTTGGGTTCTGTTGAAGTTAACCCTGGTCTGTAATCATAACTTTCTTGCCATAGTTGAGGATCTGCAGTGTAACCTGAGGTTTTGCACCATTCACGAGAGTCATCAATGTGAATCATGTCTGAAGATGGATATGGAGGTTTTTGATTGAAATAAGGTCGAGCAGATTCCAAGCAACACCTTAAGAGAGCACCATCAGTTGGTGGTAATTGGATGATGGCAGCAGAATATTGAGCGAGTGATTGTGAGAGAGTTGAGACTGAGAGTTTGTATGTGTCTGAAGGAATGCCTTCGGATGCTATTAGGTCTGTGAGCTTCACTCGACCTAAACTTGGTAGGCCATTTCCAGCCATGAATAGATGAAGAATCAATTTGCTTTTTGTAAAGGAAAGCGACGGATATGATCTGAGATCACTGTTATATCGAACAATAAATTCAAAGTGGATCAATTTTTAACCAATAATCTGGTTGTTGAAGTTAAATGAACTCCAGAAATGAGTTTAACACTCTGACTACATGTTTAATCAACAGTTCAGGTTACCAGCATAGAAGAAAAAACTCACCGGAAAGGTGAAACCGCGTCGGGAGGTGTTACAAGTTCTCAAAAACAACGACAAACCTGAAAATGAATTGCACAGGAAAGTACAGAACTAAGGTAATATATTTCACAATCAATTGATGAAACGCATCGTTGTACGCACCTTGCTCTTCGATGCAAGCATTTACTCAGGCAGCCATTGCAATTTTAGAACTCTAATCAAACTTGACCGCTTCCCTAATCCCTGAGAATCCAACCATGTATACTGAATTGCAGCAGTTACAGAAAAATATTACGATCCTTGTCTTCTCATCAATATCCTCGAAGAAAACCCTAATTAATCAGCGTCGATATACGATTCCGGCGCGGCTGTTGTCCCTCCGAACCATCGAACAGGAGCTTGTTTTCTCATGAGCAATGAGTTTTGTGTCTTTGTTTTTCAGGGTTAATTGCAAAAACAGACATAAAGTTTTAGGTTTTCAAAACATCAGCCACCATTTTTTAATTTTTAAGCATTTCAATACGACCTATTCTTTTCCTTGTATTTGATGGGTGAAAAATGAAAATCTACAAAAATAAATAAATAAAATAAACGAAATAAACTTATTAGTATGTGATGGTTGAAAATCTACAAAAATAAATAAATAAAATAAACGAAATAAATTTATTAAGATAATTAGTTTTTCGGTTTCATCATATCTGGATAACAATCTTTTTTTAATATATATCTAGATAACGAACTTTTTAGAAGTGTTCATATATGACCATTATGAACGGCTGGAGCAGGTTACATCCGATCATAATGGTTATATATGAACACTTTCAAAAAAATCGTTACCTAGATGTATACAAAAAAATTAGTTACATAAATGTGAACATACTGAAAAGTTAAGAGTAAATTACACGAATGGTCATGTGGTTTGGGTAAGGGTATTACACCATTCGTCCCTCGTGCATATGCCAGAAAACGTGTTTAGTCCTTATTTTCAAAAATTAACTCGAACCGTCCATGCTTGCATGGTTAGTCCTTACTAACATAAAATGACTATTTTACCCTTAATAGTTTTTTTTTTCTATTACTTATTTATTAGTGTTTAGATTAAAAAAAGAAAAAAAGAAAAAAGTTAATACCCCATCCCCCCCCCCCCCTTCCCCTATCCCTAGTTTCCTTCTCCCTCTCTCTCATTTACACTCACAACCGACAACCACCCAACTCTGGCGCTCCTTCTCCTTTCTTCGACGAGACCAACCTTTTTCTTTCTTTGTTTTTTGATCGCCACCCACTACAAGTGTTGGCAGCTACGAATGGTGGTTTTCTGTCGCATTCTTATAAAGTCCAATCTTCCTCCCACAATTATAACTAAGAACTGCAATTTGATCAACGAAATCCACCAAATCCATTCCCAAATAATCACCAGATGACTTCTTTCTCTCCATCCTTTATTTGCCTCTTACCTACACGTCACTATCCTCCGTACCTTCAACTTCTTCATCTCTGCCCTTCCACATCCACTGCATAATCATCATCATCATCCCATTTCAATAAACTAACCTATTTATACATTCAACCTTATCAGTATTTAGAGAGTCAAAAGAAGGAGGACAGACATAGAGGGTATTTGTGGTCCGTCCAATTCCACAATCGAGCTCCACAGTAGCAACACACAGATGAGGAGGCAATGGTGGCTTGGAGGATATGGCGACGTTACTTATAGGGCTAGGTTATAATGTGGATGGACAACTATTGTGTGGACGTGTGGATAATACTATTTTATGAAAATTACTAAGACAATATATTGTTTAGTAATGTGAATACGTTAAATCTCGCAGAACTATTGTTACTTTAATGGATTCTCACCAATTCTAATTCATTTTTGTTCTCATTCATCGTTTTTTATTTATTTTAATTCTTACAGAATACGACTCAATAAACATCCTGATAACATTCTGACAGAATGAGAATAATTTAAAAAAAATGTATAATAACATTATAGACGATTTAATTAGTGAAAATACTTAATAATTAAAATAATTATATAAGATTGAACGTATTCATATTATCAAACAACATATTTTCTTTGTAATTCTCACAGAATAGCACTATCCACACGTCCACACGATAGATGTCAATACATATTTGAACATAGCTCTCTCTCTCTCTCTCTCTCTCTCTCTCTCTCTCTATATATATATATATATATATATATATATATATATATATATATATATATATATATATATATATATATATATATCCTATTAACGAAAAAGTCATTCCTGATTGTTTATTTAGAATTTGGCCCTAAAAACCGACATTAATCGGGTATAAGGGTTATTTTGCAAGTATTTATCGGTTTTTTGGATTTAATTGCAAAAAAAAAAAAGACAAAAAAAACAAAGATGACTTTTACGTTAACAAAGCCAAACTTTATGAACTTTTTTTGGATATTTCCCTTTATTTGGTCTTGGTTCATTGGTTTATTATACCTTATTTTGATTTAAGTCATGTTTGGACTAGTTAGAAAGCAAGTTTTTAGCTAATATATTAGTTGGTAGTTGATAAGTTAGTTTATAAATTAATAATATTTGATAAAAAAAAAAAAAAAAAAAAAAAAAAAAAAAAAAGTTGTAATGCCTCAAATTTCAACCCAAAATTTGCAACTAAAACATTAAGTGTTTATTCAACTCACAACTACAAGATTTGAAAACATTTATCAAAGTGTCATTTAAAAGTTATCATGTACAGAAGTCCCCCATTGATGCGATACAATCGAGTCATGCCCCTTCTTTAATATAGGAAAACCTAAAACATGTAAGCCACAAATCGTAAGCACAAAGTTTAGTGAGTTCCCTAAAATACCACATACAACACAACATGATAAACAATTATGGGTTATTTGCAAGGATGAGCATATGGACCGGGGAACCGGCCGGAACCGATCCTGAAACCGAAACCTGATGGAACCGGTCGGACCGAGACCGATACTATAATTTCGTCAATTTTTGGAATCGGGACCCGGTAAGAACCCGTCGTTGGAACCGGCCCAAAACCGGGAATCGGACCGGATAGTCTTTAAAAAAAAAACCATGCCTTTTTGTCGTTTGTACTTCTAATTTGGACGTAAAGAAAAAGTAATCGTAAAAAAACCCACGAAATCCAAGCACGACTCGGTGACTCCAAGTCAAGAACCCTACCATCGATCGACATCTCCAAGGAATCCAATGAATCCAAGCATCGGTCATCCCTTATACGATTCCAAGCATCTCCAAGGTTCCATCGATCTTCATCATCATTCACCAATTATCATCTTCTCAATTCTCAAGTTGACATCTTCATATTTTGCTTCAATGATTCGAACTATGGATGCTCATGAAGATCAAGTAAGATTATATATTTGTATTTCATGTTTTAAGTTCCATTTAACAATGTACTTTTTACTTTGTAGACATACATGCGGGATTTTTGTTAGATCAGTTTATAGTATGAATGTAAGATTGTCAAAACTAAGAATTTATTTAGTTATATAATTAATGTTTTATATTGACAATGTAGGACTTGAATAGGTTACCAAATGTACCATCATCAAGATACCGAAACTCAGATGTTCATGATGCCAATAATGAAGATGGTAATCCGGCTAATTGGATTGGAAAAGACTTTGATGACCAAGTAAGATTAGTTCATTAGCAATATTTACTTCTTTAACATTCTATCCAGCTCGTTAGCAATATTTACTTCTTTAACATTCTGTCCAAATTTTGAAAGTTGCATAACTCACTCAATTTAACTTGTTTCGACCTGAATCTTTTTCCTACATGTAGATAATGATTTGTAGGTAAATATATACTATAAAAACGCTTGATTTGATTAAAATCGAATGAGTTACAAGCCCTGCAAGGAAGGGTGTCAAATCAGAATATTTTTTTTATATTTCAGGAATTAAATATAATCTGACTTTGTTGTTCAGATGTGCATAACTCACTCAATTTAACTTGTTTTGACGTGAATCTTTTTCCTACGTGTATATTAGGATTTGTAGTTAAGTTTAGACTATAAAAAGTCTTGATTTGGTTAAAAGTTGAATGAGTTACATGTCTTGGGATATACCGTACCAAATCTATTTATTGTTGCAGCAACATACATGAATCTTTGATTGTATTTTCTTTGTTCTTTTTTATAGATCCAATGTTTCAGAAAACTGTGGGAAGGATACCATCGCATTCAGAATTTGAGATGATTAAAAAGATGATGGAGTTCCTTGAGAAGTTTAAAAAGAAAACTGAAAAAGTTTCGTGTTCAACAAAACCTATCTTCCATACGTATACCAGGTAGATCCTAGACATAGAGCAACATCTTAGGAAACATGAAACCAACCCAAATTTTTTTATGGTACCAGATATGAAAGAAAAATATAACTAATATTGGGGTGACTATGTGTAAAACCTTATTTATTTATTAAATAAATTAATTAATTAATGAATGGCTAGTAGTCCTAAAAAAATATTTTATATATATATATATATATATATATATATATATATATATATATATATATATATATCAATGGATGGTCTCGAGGGGTTAATTGTCATAAATTTAGAAGTTGAGGGCTGAAGGGTAAATTCTGGACCTTAATTGAAAAGAAATTGCCAAGCAAGGGGTGGTTTTGTAAATTCTGGATTAGTTCTGTAAAGATTTTAGAAGATAGGGGCTGTTTAGTAAATCTGGACTTAATTTGTAAAGGATTTATGGAATCGGGGTTAAAAAGTTAATTTTCACAGTCACGAGGTTATGCATCTTATAATTTCTTCATTGAACCTATTATCACATGTATAACTAATATGCATCAAATTTGATGCATAATTAGTCGAAATTGATGTATTGATGTTTCAGTATTGGAACTATAGTTCCTTTATATTAGTTATTGTTCTTGAGTTTTCATATTTTTAAAAGCAAATTATAAAGCATCATGTGCTAATATTATCAACCACATTTTTGGATGTACGACACTAAACATTAATGCATAAATTGATTGCTCATCTTATAACGCAAATCGTTTAAATAAACTTTATTGTTGAAAATATACACTACATGATGGATGTTGTAATGGGAACTCGCTATGATAAGATTTAGTCATATTAAGTGTTTCCTCCGTTTTAAATACCCGGGCATAAGGAAACCATATAAACAAGTAATGTTTGTTTACTTCAATAAAGCGGTTGTTGAGATTTTGTATGCATATAAATATGATCGAATACAATACATCAATTTCATAGTCGTGCAAGTTGTTAATCCGTGATCAGTTAAATATAATATTAGTTAACCTAGCTATCATTTTAAGTTTTAGATTTTCCCAGTAAATATAGTTTATTTGTTTAATCCCAAACAAAATGTGAGAATACAGCATATTAACTCGAGCTAAATCTTGACTTGTTACAAGTTTTATGTGTAAAACTCGAGCTTGACTTATGACTGGTTTCTATATAATTCAACTTACCTCATTTTGTTTTCATTCAAGTATGATCATTCCGAAGAATATTTCTTGGAAGAATATTTGATGCTTTTGTCTTGAAATTAATTACGATGAAACTGAATAATTAAATAATCAGACAATCAGAATGAAATATTCACACTCAATAGTATTTGGATGTAGTTTTTAACATTGAAATTAAAATAATATGATAATAGTTCGTTTAAATATCGACATTATTTTATTATTTAATGCAGTGACAGTATAAATAAAAAAATGCTCAAAAAAATCCTATATATTTCAAATTAGTTAAAAAAAAAAAAAAGGTAAATGAATTATTTTGGGAATTAAATATGAATCAAAACTCACGAAAATTATTTAATAAAGTCATTAATGATATTTTTGAACAAATAATGCTAATCTACAGAGTAGTACATATACATATAACGAGAATTTATAATAATCTCAAAAACCGATGAATCAAAGTATCAAACTAATGCATGAAATCACCCCGATTTTTGAGATTGATGCACTAATTCATCCGATTTCGGTAACCTAAATTTATAGATCTCGTTGCAAAAGTTCTTCAAGACGAGTATAGATCAGCTAACTCATCCAAACAATCCGAAGTGACATTAAAATCGGCGTTCTCAAGCATCCATAACAGATGATCAAAAAGTACAACTTCACAATTGATCACCGATACATCATCATCATCATCACTAACTGGCTTCGATTTCTCGATGAGAGCATTAACAAGTGGATGACTCAAATACTTAGAACTAATAACGTACCGTTTCCTCGAGCTTCCGACGAATACTATTTCATTAGGCTCTTCTTCGCCTCCGCTGACATTGCTGTCTCCGTCTCCGCCGTAGCCGTAGACGGAGATAGCATTCGTATTCCAGACTATTCCTTCTCCGGCGGCTCTGTCGTGATGATGTCTAGCACTAGCAGACTTAGAGTTAGATCCCAAACTGCTGAACGACGAACTTCTCCCTATTTGTTTGGATAACGTCTTGCACTTCCTTAGAATCACATTGATCTTCTTCATGGCTGATTTCTTAATAGTTTGCAGGAGGATTCGGAATCAATGGGGAGATGTATATATATACTGTAACTGAAAAAGGAGAGGGTGCAATTTGAAAATACGAAAACGATGGTGGGCGTGAGGTGGATGTTTAGAGTTCTTGAGGGTCCCGCTTATAACTGATATATTAATTGGGAATTAATTGTTACGTATAACATTTCATCTCCTTTTCTTCAATATCGGTGGATGTTTATATTTTTATAATAATAAATTTTTAAAAAAAATGTATATATTTATTAATATCGGTTTATTGATCGATTTTGAAACGTATTGTTTGATTTGATATAGATATTTAATGAATAAGATAAGATTTCTGTAAGTCTTTCTTTTTATTGGATTTTAAAATTTGGTTAATGTTTAGTATGAATATGAAAGATATGTTTTGCGGTGTGTCTTTAGAGAGGGCCTCGTGGTTGACAAGTGAGTGGTTAAATCAAGCAGGACGAAGAAAGGGACCCATTGTTTTATAAAATCCTTGTCCTTGTAGAAAATGCATACAAAAACAATAATAATGATAATATTTTTGGAAGATATTATGTTTATGAAACGTCGGCCATATAACGAAGAAAAGACAATGATATGTAAATGTAACTAAAAAAACAGATATATATATAAGTAATAAAGATAGAAGTAAATACGAGCAAGGAAAATCGCGTGGACATTTTGCGTATGTAGAAATGGTAAAAATGTGTACTCAATAAAACATGAATCATATAATAGCAATAGAAGTTTAAAAAAAAAAAAAAAAAAAATGATTGCCATTCCCATTGAGTTTGTGATCTTCATGTTTTGGTATCATGTCCAACACCGTTCTATCCCCTGACAAATACAACATTCTCATGTTGAATCTTGTATGCAAGAAACAATAATTTGTTGTACAATTAATTATGTATGAACTTATGTTGTCACACATGAAGAGAAATTAAAGACATGAAATAAATCATACATTTATATATGATGAATTTATTATTTGACATCATAATAAATAAATAAATAAACAGATAAATAAATGAAAAGTTTACTTGTTACTTATTTAAAATAAATAAATAAATAACAGTTGATTGGGTAATTAAGATAATTAATTTGGATTTGAGATTGTCTCATTAAATGTTTAAAAGATAATTAAAATGTCATCATATTTGGGATAATATTTATAACATATATCATAAGATTTTTAGCTGAAGAGGTATCATGTATTGTCTTTTCTCTTTGAGATTGATGATTCAAATCTCACCTAAGACTTAAGTAGAACCATTATTTAACTTAGAAGTATATTAGGTTTGAAGGTTAAAAAAAATTTTATAAGGAATGTTTATTGAAAACCCCAATTTGAAGTCTAGTAGTTGTGTTTGCGTGCTTGTTTGGATACAAATAAAAATGATAATACTTTTGATCATAGTTTCCGAACCAAATGACCATAAAACCGACTTGAAGTTTGTACTGAACATCCTGTTTGTAACCGGTTAATCTTTAACTATTTAAAACAGGGACAGTTTTACTTGGTGTCCCGGTGTAGTACCGGCAACAACTAGTTTTCCCGTACACAATAGAAAACATTTGGATTTTTTTTTGGTTTTTTACCTATTTTTCATGCACCGCCAATACCTCTTCAACCGCGGCAACACCTACTGTGTATTTCTGCGTCCGATCCTGATTTAAAAATAACCAATTGAAACCAACTAACAACATTAACCATTTTTATCATATTTTCTATACCAAATAATCATAAAAATCAACTTGAAGTAATATAGTGAAAGTCATATGGTTTGTGACTAAGTTAATTTGGTTGATTTAATTAGTTTAAATTAATCAGTCATAACGATTCGATAAAATTAACAAATTTAACCCTTTATTGTTTTATTTATTATCATGTTAAAGATTATGCTAATATAAAAGACAAGGATTTTAAATAATTCATAAATGAAATAACTTTGGAAATCAGTTTGGTCTAATATGAAAAATAAGGATTTTAGATAAATATACGTAGATTGTCATAAAAATTACCTTAATTATGAAGTTTACCCTTTATTATTTAATTTATGAATTATTATAGTTCGAAGAAAATGTTGGTGATGGCTATAAAAACCCAATATGTACCCTGTAGAATGGACATGTTAGATTAATGGAAAAATGATTTTTAAGGATAGTTAAGTGTTGTATATGTTTTCATTTGGTTCCTTTTTTGTACTCAATATATCATCGAATTTGTTGTTAGTGTTCACCATAACCCTTTTGACCGGCTTTTGACACGTGATAGTCGGTCAAATGATTATGGTGAACACAAACAACAAGTTTGATTATATATTGAGTATAAAAAAATGGACCACATAAGAACAAATGCAACAGTTGGTTACCCTCCTGATTCATTTTCCCTTTACTCATTTATAACAAATCTCACGTTATCTTCTGCTGATATTAATGATTTTATGATATTCATTATTGTTTCTCTTCAAAACGTAACCCACGAAAGAACATTATTCATACATGTATAAGTTTGTAATGCACTTGAATATTTATTAGGGGAATCTTGACTAAGTAGATGCATTTCATGACTACATTTACATTTCTAATCAAATAATTTACTGTATCATGGATTCTAGAAAAGTCTACAAACGAGTAGAATCACAAGTGTTTTGATTTTTTAGTTTACTTATCTATAAGATCGAATTCATGGGAT